GGAGGAGGGCATAGGGTTGGTTAAGGGTTGACGGGGTGGATGAGTGGAGTCTGGGGGGTTAGGGAAAAGAGGAGGAGGAGGATAGTTGGACAAGGGAGGAGCGAGGAATAAGAGAAGGAAGACACCCAGGAAGGGAGGGGAGTGTGGAGAGAAGGGGGGTGAATGTAGGAGGGCAGTGAGGAGGAGTAGCATGCGTGCGAGGATTCGGTTGAGAGGAAAGAACGAAGGATGAGCAGGAAGTGTTGGAGTTGGGGGAGGGGGTGTGGAGATGTGGGAGTTGCGTCCCCTCTTGAGGGGCGTGGTTGGGAAGGGGCTGGTCGGAGTGGAGTGGGTTAGGGGAGGGGAAGAGGGAGAAGACGAATGGAAGAGGTAGGAGGATCCGCGCGGAGGAAGTGGGCCGTGGTGATGGGAGGGATATTAGGATTTTGAAGGAGGGATGAATGCGTATGCACATGTGCGTGAAGTTTATCGATATGTGCAGAATTACAGACACAAAAACACACACGGAAGAGGACAGAGACACACACATGTAAATATACGTTTAAGTTTGACACACACACGCACAGAGGCAAGAGAGTATATAAAGTGCCACTTTAGTAGAATTATGCACCACAGATACACCACCACCACAAACACATTAGGGACAAAGCACAACTAACACAAACACAATCAAAGGAGGAAAACGAGAGCAACTAACACACAAAAAGAACAACAATTTTACAGACAGAACAGAATAACAAACGATATAAACTGCACTTATAAAATTATATAGACAACAGCCTACACATACTCCAGAGCGAGAAAGCACAACAACACACACAACAAGCAAGAGCGAAACAAACAAACACACAGGCAAAACACACCACGATAAACACATTTACCAGCGACAAGCAATCATATAAATGCACTTAAAAACTCAATTGAAAGAGAGATAAATATAAGAACACAACACAACTACACAATAGTAACACCACTACAGAACGAGTCAGACTCGAAAAAGACACGCAACACACCAGCACACACACACACCCACTCAACACCCAGCCTAACACACACCCCCACACACACACACACCACTCAACCTAGATCATCCTGTACGACTCAAAAACTAAGACTTGCGAACACATCTATGTTCACAGCACACACACACACACAAACACACACACACACACTACTTACACACAATCAAATTATAAATGGCCACATCAACAACCGTCGAAACACATCAGAAACTCCCACAAGCAAGCCAGCAGGAGAAGTTTAGCGGCGCAGGTGAACGTCATCCCCGGGACGAGTAAAACGCGATCACAGAAAAGAGGAAACGAGAGAAAAATGAGGAGAACACTTGGAGAGGACAGACAGACATAAGAAGTTGCACACATTGGGCGAGGGAGGAGGGAGGGAGCGGGAGGAGAGGGAGGAGACCAAAGGAGAGCAAAGAGGAGGTGAGGGGAGGCGCAGCGAGACGCGAAAGCGCACCTGCGGAGGAGAGAAGAGAAGGCGGGGGAGGAAGAAGAAAGTGATAGAGTAGTCTATGATATGAAGTTTTGGATTAAAAGAAGGGGAAGGAGAAAGAAAAAAAGAACGAGAGAAAGGAAATGTTCTTGCTGTTTATTTAGTTAAAATACCGAGAGGAATTGTGGGGTCAATAGGACTGGAAGAGAGGGTCGTAGTAGAATTGAGATTGGTGAGAGGAAAAAAGAGAAGAAGGAGTGAATTGTCGCTGATAGAGAGATAGAGATAGATATAAGATGGATGGAATGGATGCTACTGAGTTAGAGAATTAGTGTCTCTCAGTATTGTACGAAAATTGGGAGGGAGCTTGGATGGGCGGAATTTTGTGAGAGACGTACTTTATGAAAGATGGAGCTGAAGTAACTGGCAATAGGGAGAGAGAGAGAGAGTATTGCGAAGAGAGAGGACAGTGAGAGGAGAGAGGAGATGAGAAGAGAGAGAGATAGAGAAAGAATAACGCGCGCAATGGAGACCTAGAGAGAGGAGAGAGAAGAGATGACCTGAGCTACTTCACCTCAAACCTTCAATCTCCAATAACCTTTGTGATAATGAAACTTTTAGAGGAAATTTATCACATGTTTTGTTGTCTCGGTGGCAGTACGTTTGTCTTGTCTATTTATTTACTTTTTGAGTGTGTCTCTTCCGCTTCTGTTGTTTTTTTTTTTATGTTTGTTGGTTTACAAAAAATAATTGGATATATGGATTTCTTGCTTCCTCTCTCATCTCTCTCTCTCTCTCTCTCTCTCTCTCTCTCTCTTCTCCTCTCTCTCTCTCTCCTCTCTCTGCTCTCTCTCCTCTTCTCTCTCTGTTCTTTTATTGTGGCACGGATAAATGAATCTATATAAATCTGACATGCAGGATGCGCTGGCGACGAGGATTGTAGGAATTTGCGGGGGATTATTGCTTTGATAATATATTACCTTAGGCTGGTGGATAGAAGATCAAAGACATATTTGTATAAAGATTGAGCTAAGGATAAGATCATTTTTAATTTTCATGAAAAGGAAATCAGATTTTTGTTCTGATATTTTTTTTTCCGTTTTTTCCCTTTCTTTCTGCTTCTTCCTCTCCCCCTCCCTCTCTCTCTGGTCACTCTCTCACTCTCTTTGTTTTATTATTTGTGTAAAATTGGTCAAAACACCAATAAAATAAATTTAAATCATATATATATATATTATATATTATATATATATAGTATATATATATATTATAATATTATAATATCTTTGTTCTCTATTTTTTATTTTATATATTTTTCTCCTTCATGCGAAGTGATAATAGGGCTCCCGATCACTTACTTTAGCTGGATAATAATCATTGCTGTTATTTACTATACGGTTTGTTCATCATGTTATCATGTTTATTTATCCCCCATTACCTCTCTCTCTCTCTCTCCTCTTATTTGAAAAAGCTAGTTCACGGCTGAGTCGAAAAGTAAAGGTTTTGTGTGAGCGACCTATTCATCTCTTATTTCTACATTCGATTCCTCCATACTTATCAGCAACGTACAATATATCATCATCAATCATCACTCGTTATTATCCTTATAGTACTTTCTCTCATCACCCCCCTACCTACTCCCCTCATCACCATTCTCCTTGCTTCCTCCCCCCCCGCGATTGCCATGCGTGTTTGTCAGCTGTGTTATGATTTAAACTGAATTAGTAAAGCGACTTTACTATCAGACTTTTAAAGCCGTGGATCGTATCTCTAGACTCCCCCTCTCTCTTCTCTCTCTCTCTCTCTATCTCTCTCCTGCCATCCGTTCGTCTCCCCCCCCCTGTCAATTTTACTGCACTTACAATGTCTTTCATACGGTATCTAATCCCTCTCACCTCTTCTCGGCTACTCTCTTCTTTTCTCTCTTACTCTTTCTACCCTTCTGAATGCCACGTGTCTGTGTTCTGGCTACTTACAGACTTCGACTTTTATGTACCTGGAAGTTCGTATGCAACTATATTTTCTTTGTGTCATGGGAGATACACAATCCTGGAGGGTACACACCACCACACACACACACACACGCACATGCACACACACACGCACCACACACACACACAACACCACACACACCACACACACACGACGCAACGCACGCCACACACACGCACAACACACGCACACACATGCACACACCAACGCACACACGCACACACACATACATATATTTTTTCTTTTCTTTCTTCTCTTTTATTTAGGAGGATCAGTTCTCTTTTTTAAGCAGGTTGAGGTGAAGTTGTGAAAATGTTCCTCTTGGAAGAAAGAGTAAACGGCATCTATATTTCTCTTTAGTTCACTACGAAGTCAGTCGTCTGTGTATTTGCGTGGTTTGAGATGGATATGAGACGCAGGAGTAATAAACGGAGTTATATGAATAGACTAATAAGTCATGATAATTACAGAATATAAGTATAATATATAAGTATAGATAGAGGATTAGTAAGTAGTAATATATATATAGAAATAAAACGTAAGTACGATCAGGGGTGTGATACTATGACCTCTATTCATATAGGGATAGAGATAAAAAAAGAAGGAGATGATCGTGAGATTAGGTAAGTGTTTAGTGTTGTATTTGAGATACAAATATTGCCAGACACTGCGGAGATATTAGAAAAAGAAGTGAAGGAGTAATAAGAATATGGTGAGAGTGATTAGAGGAAATCATAAGATAATGATATAGACAAATATTGAGATAGATGGACGAGAATGTGAAGCACAATGATAGAGATAGATGAAGAGAGAGGTAGTGACTGAGATGGTTAACCTGGGACAGCGTGGAGATATTTCCAAAAAATGACTGCGAAGGAGAAGAGGAATAGATGAGTAAGAAATGATGACTAAAATGAGGTATATAAGGAGAAAGAGAGAGAGCGAGTAAAGTGAGACGTATGGAATAGAGTATGAATAGTAGAGAGGAAGATGGATGAGGTATTGGTGAAGAGAGAATGCTAGATTGATATGACAGGATGAGAGATAGTAGAGATGAAACGCAAATAGATAAGATATAGTAAAGAAAGAAAGAAAGAAAGGATTAAAGAAAGGAAAGAAGAGAGAGATACGAGGAGACGACGATTAGATAGCATATGTTTCTATTCTTTGAGATTCGTTTTGATATTGACACGATGGAGACTTTGAGATTTGCAGGATGGGCCTCGAGAGAGAGAGAGAAGAGGACGCATTATCCCCGGACTGCCATATACGGGAAAGAACTAATAGTAGGAGGACACGATTTAACTCAGGTTTGAAAACATTTAGGAGTAAACAAAACAACAGACTAGACTGGCTCACCGTGAAGGATATCGTGTTTGAACAAGAACATGGTGGATTATTTCTAAGTATCTATACCTTATATAAATTATGTCACCCATTATTTTACTAAGTTCAACTTATAAATTAAGATGATGCGTTAATGTATATCAATGTAAGGATTAATATAGTTATGAAAACTATAGCGGAATACGGCGGTATGGTGTTTGTGAAGCTGAATTACTATGGGATTGTCTGATCTTCTTACATGGAAAATTGCGAGAGTGTTTGTATCTCGAGCGTGGTTTATAAAGTCCTGGTTAGTGTGTTTTTTTCTCGTCCATTTCTGTTTTAACTTTTATTTTTTGCGGCATGAATTGTGTAAGGCGTATCAGACATGAACATAGACTTAAACAAGTTATTTCATCCTGGCATGTTGTTTACGTATTGGCCTAATTATGCCTACAGGCCTAGCTTTATGGACTGCTATGTATCTATATCAATAAAAGATAAAAACGTAATCATGTCTCTCTTGTTTCACTTTCCCTATTACTAGTAACAACATATATATGAACGCACAAAAACTATATAATAGACAAGAGAAAATTCAATTTAATTCAATTCTTCAGTGTCTGTTATTCTAATATTCGACACAAAATATTCAGTACATTAATGACATTGTGAGAATTACATCGAGGAAGATGATAAAACGGAAAATGTGATATTTATTAGTACTTCAAGGAAATCACTGAGCGCGTCCTATTTTTATTAGTTTGCTTCGAGACTAGTAGATGGCGCTGACTGGTGTCCCTAACGTCACGTTTTTCCTTGCAGTATTGGGAGAACTATCTTGTCTTCGTAATGTTTTTAGTTTCTTGTTTTTTTTTGTTTTTTTTATTATTATTATTATTTTTATGGAGTACAGAGTCGGAATGAGTAACTAAACCCTAGTACTTTTTTCTTAGTTTTGTTGGTAAATTAAAATGATATATGTTGGTCGTTTTTACCGAATTTTTAAAAAACTATAAGCGGCTTTATGGACACTCATAGTTGGTAAATTAAATACATTTTGCGTGAATCAAGTGTCCTCGCTGTTTGTACACACTGGGGGTAATAAGAATGCCATGTCAATAAAATGGAAGGGGAAACAAGAATAACACTGTTCGTTATTGTGTGTGTGCATATACGGAAAACACACACACACACACGCACACACATACCGTTCCCCTCAGGGTGATTGTAACATGATTGGCTTCTCACTCCACCATTCTTCCAATCAGTTTATAGAATCATGCACAAAAGGAACGACATTGGGCGAATATTCATAGCTATAACTATGTGTTTGTATTTGTAGTGAGGGGCTTTTGTGTGGGAAGCAGGTGGAGGGGGCGCAAACAGTGTTTGTGGGGGCCCATGTGTGTTTGTTTTCTTCCTAAACACAAACACAAACGCACAGACACAGACACACACACACAGACACACGTACGTACGCACAGACACACGTACGTACACACACACGCACACACACATACACAGACACACACACAAACACACGCACGCACGCACGCACGCACGCGCGCGCACACACACACACACACACACACACACACACACACACACACACACACACACACACACACACACACACACACACACACACACACACACACACACATACACACTCACACACACTTATATATATAAAACACACACATACACGCTTATATATATATAACACACACACACACATACACACTTATATATATAGTATACACACACACATACACACACATTTATATATATAACACATACACCCCCCACCCCCCCACCCATCCACCCCCCTCCCACCCACCCCCACACCCCTCGGCGCCCTCACCTGTACGTAATCGAGCCGGGGTTGGCATCGGCGTTGCAGTAGAAGGTCGCGTCGTCTCCCTCCACCAGCGCCTGGGGTTTGACGCTGAGCCGAACCTCCGGAGGGAACAGAACCTTCAGTTGGATGGAGCTGCGAAGGGTCAACGGAGGGTCGAGAGGTTAGAGGTTGTAAGGAAATAGATCTTGAGTTTGTGTTTGAATTTTGTGGTTGGGATGATTATGAGGGTGAGGAGGAAGATGAGGTGAGGAGGATGAGGATGAGGATGAACATGATGAGTAGTAAGAGGATGAGGATAAGAGTGAGTATGAGGATGAGGACGATGAGGATGAGGATGAGGATAAGGGTGAGTATGAGGCTGATGATGAAGCTCCAATGATAATGAACAACGACGCCACTTATGATAATGATCATCACACAGATACATAACAACAAAAACAACGACAACGGCTGCACCAACCCTCCCCCTCCTCCCTTCCACCACCACCAACCCCCACCCTCTCCCAACCCCACCCTCTCCCCACCCCCCACCCACCTTTTAAGAGGAGAAACTGAGCGCCTGGTTGGAGGTGATGCACGTGATGGTGGAGTTGTGGTGGGAGCGGCGCGGCGTGAAGCTGAGGCGTGACTTGACGGTGGTTCGCTTCCCGTCGGGCATGACCTCCTTGTCCCAGGTGATGCCGTGCGGATGGTCTCCCGCCGGCTGTCGTCCACCCACTGGATCTGTGCGGGGGAGGGAGGGAGGGAGGGAGGTTAGGGTTGTGGTGGGGGTGTTGGGGGTTGGGTGGGTTGGGTGTTTGGGTGGGGTGGGTTGGGGTGGTGGGTTGTTGGGGGTGTTGGGGGGGGTGTGGGGTACGCACGTACGCATGCACGCACGCCCACTTATGTACGGATGCACTCAAGCATGCACGCATGCACTCAAGCATGTACACACGCACGCATACAAGCGCGCGGACACACACACACACACGTACACACACACAACCATCACAAACATACAAAAAAACCCACACAAAGAACCATTCATAAGTAAACACATAAAAATCAACTCACGTTAGGGAACTTCCCCTCGTGTAAAAAAAAAAAAAAAAAAAAAAAAAAAAAAAAAAAAAAAAAAAAAAAAAAAAAAAACGAAAAGTGATCATTCCCCCATACACTCACTTCATCAGAAGAAGTTTCCTCACTCATCAAAAACCCATCCTCACTTCCCCCTCTCGCCGGCACTATTGCATCTTCTCGTTTATTCCATCGATGGGGTGAGATTTGCATATACTCCCCCTACTCCCCTCCTCCCTTCCTTCCCTTCCCCTCCCTCTCAGTCCCTTCCCCCTCCCTCTCGGTCCCTCTCCTGTGCCCTCTTTCCCCTCTCCCTCGCCTCCCCTTCTCTCCCTCTCTCTTTCTCCCCCCTTATCCGCCCCTTTCCCTATCCTTCCCCCTTCTCTCATTCCCTCCCTCACCACCCCTCTCCTCTTATTCCCTCCCTTCCTTCTTCACCCCCTTTCCTCTTCTCATTCCCTCCCTCCCTTCTTCCCCTTTCCCCTCCCTCCCTCCCTTTACCTTCCCCTTCCTTTACCCCCTTCTCCTTCTCCTCCCTCCACCCTCCCCTCCCCTACCTACCCCCTCCCTCCCTATTCCCTTCGCCTCTCATTCCCTCCCTTCCCTCCCCCTACCCCTCCCCTTCGCCTTCCTCCCCTCCCCCTACCCCTCCCTTCGCCTTCCCTCCCTCCCTATTCCCTTCGGTTCTCATTCCCTCCCTCCCTCCCCCTACCCCCCCCTCCCCCCTCTTTCTGTTCGTATATATGACTAAAATGTTCATTTCTTGTTTTATACAGCTTCCTGCGGGGGGGGGGGGGCGTCTCTCTCCAATAAATTTGAACAGGTTTCACTCCATCAGAGTTCAATGCATTTCTCCATTTTCCGTGTTTTTTTTTCTTTTCTTTGATTTATTTTTTCTTTCGTTTCTTTCTGTTTTTTCTCTCTTCCTATCTTTTGTATGTTGGAGTTATTATATTCATGTTTGCTTAGAGAAAAAGTATGTATATATATATATATATATATATATATATATATATATATATATATATATATATATATATATGTGTGTGTGTGTGTGTGTGTGTGTGTGTGTGTGTGTGTGTGTGTGTGTGTGTGTGTGTGTGTGTGTGTGTGTGTGTGTGTGTCTGTATGTGTGTACATTTTTAGTGGGGGTTATAAGCGAAAAAAAACGGTCTTTTTTTCTTTTTTCTCTCAATTTTCATTTCCTTTTATCTTTTCCTGCCTTTTCTCTAACTTTCTATTTCGCAATTCCTTCCTTTATCCAACCGTTGAGGTTTCTATACCATTTATCACGCTATCACAATAACCCTCTTTTTTTCTTTTATTGCAGTACTCTTTTTGTCTCTTCTCTCCCCCTCTCGTTCGCTGTGCACTCCTTTATCATCCTCTGTGCCATTTCTCCCCTTCATCTTCTCCTCTTGCCCTTCCCTATGTGTTCTCAATCACCTCTATTGTTGTCTTTCCTCCTATCCTCTTCTTCGTCTTTAAAAAAAATCTCTCTCTCGTTCTCTTTGCCTCTGATTCTTCATCGCCATTTCCCTCGTCCTAGATTCGCCTTCATATTTCACTCACGCGTTTTCTCTCTCTCTCTCTTTCTTTCTTTTTTCTCTCCTTTTCTTCCCATTTTCCACTCTTTCTTTTGTTGCTTTCCCTCCTCCCTCTTTCCTCTTGATCGTCGACTTTGATTCTGTGATGACTCTTCGCTCTAAGGTCGTCGTTTCATCGTGTGTGTCTCCCTCTCTTTGTCTTCTCTCTTTTTCCCTTTCCACGTTAATCGTTCCCCTTCATTCGTGTTGTTCCTGTCTTTTCTTTGGTCGCTCTTTCTTTTTACTCTGTCTCTGGCTCTCGGTCTCTCTGTCTCTCTGTTTCTCTGTCTCTGTCTCTGTCTTTGTCTGTCTCTCTCTCTGTCTTTGTCTGTCTCTCTCTCTGTCTCTGTCTCTCTCTGTCTTGTCTGTCTCTCTGTCTCTCTCTCTCTCTCTGTCTCTGTCTCTCTTCTCTCTCTTCTGTCTTTCTCTGTCTCTCTCTCTCTGTCTTTGTCTGTCTCTCTCTGTCTTCTCTCTGCTCTCTCTCTCTCTCTCTCTCTCTCTCTCTCTCTCTCTCTCTCTCTCTCTCTCTCTCTCTCTCTCTCTCTCTCTCTCTCTCTCTCTCTCTCTCTCTCCATTTTTGTTTTGTTTTAGACAATCGATCCCTTGTCTTCTGACATTAACAGTTCTTCCTACCATTCCCCTCTTCCCATTCCTCCTCCTCCTCCTTTTCTCTTTTGTTTCCAGTAACGATCCCCCATTCCCTCTCTCCCTCTCTCTCTCTCTTTTGTTTCCTATTTCTCTCTCTGTGTTCTCTTTCTCTCTCTCTTTCTCTCTCTCCCCCTTCCCTCTCTGTCCCTGTCTGTCTGTCTGTCTCTCTCTCTCTCTCTCTCTCTCTCTCTCTCTCTCTCTCTCTCTCTCTCTCTCTCTCTCTCTCTCTCTCTCTCTCTCTCTCTCTCTCTCTCTCTCTCTCTCTCTCCCTCTCTCTGTTTCTCCGCCATTCTTTTCCTCCTCCCCCTTCTGACCTTTATTTCCTTTTTTTGTTGTTGCCAAAAGAACCGTCTGATGTTTCCCTTTGCCAGCTGTGTCAGAAATCTCACACCCCTTTGCCTCCATTAGGGGCTGGACATGTCATGCTGCCTCTTTGTCTGTCTGTCTGTCTGTTTACCTGTCTGTTCTGTCTTTACCTGTCTGTCTGTCTGTCCCGTTTACCTGTCTGTCTGTCCCGTTTACCTGTCTGTCTGTCTGTCCCGTTTACCTGTCTGTCTGTACCTGTCTGTCTGTCTGTCCCTGTCTGTCCTGTCTTTACCTGTCTGTCTGTCGTCCGATGTCTGTCCCCGTTTACCTGTCTGTCTGTCCCGTTTACTGTCTGTTGTCCCGTTTTCTGTCTGTCTGTCCCGTTTACCTGTCTGTCTGTTTCCCGTTTACCTGTCTGTCTGTCTGTCCGTTTACCTGTCTGTCTGTCCCGTTTACCTGTCTGTCTGTCTGTCCCGTTTACCTGTCTGTCTGTCTCCCGTGTCTACCTGTCTGTGTCTGTCCCGTTTACTGGTCTGTCTGTCTACCTGTCTGTCTGTCTGTCCGTTTGTCTGTCTGTCTGCTTCCCGTTTACCTGTCTGTCTGTCTGTCCCGTTTACCTGTCTGTCTGTCCCGTTTACCTGTCTGTCTGTCTGTCCCGTTTACCTGTCTGTCTGTTCCCCGTTTACCTGTCTGTCTGTCTGTCCCGTTTACCTGTCTGTCTGCCCTGTCTGTCTGTCTGTCCGTCTTCCTGTCTTGTCTGTCCCGTTTCCTGTCTGTCTGTCTGTCCCGTTTACCTGTCTGTCTGTCTGTCCCGTTTTACCTGTCTGTCTGTCTGTCTGTCTGTCGTTTACCTGTCTGTCTGTCCCGTTTTACCTGTCTGTCTGTCTGTTCCCCGTTTACCTGTCTGTCTGTTCTGTCCCGTTTACCTGTCTGTCTGTCTGTCCCGTACCTGTCTGTCCCGTTTCCTGTCTGTCTGTCTGTCCTTTACCTTTGTCTGTCTTGTCTTTACCTGTCTGTCTGTCTTTACCTGTCTGTCTGCTCCCTTTCCTCTGTCTGTCGTCTGTCCGTTTACCTGTCGGTCTGTCCCATTTCCTGTCTCTGTCTGTCTGCTCCCTCCTCTCTATCTCTGGATATCTGTATGTCTGTTTCTGTTAGTTCCGTCCCTTATCTTCCTTCACTCTCTTTCTATCTCTGCCTTGCCTGTCTGTCTGTATTGCCCTCTATCTCTTTTATTTCTTCTCGTCTCTCCCTCCCCTTCTTCCTCTCTCCTCTCTTCTCTATCTTTCTCCTTCATTTTCTTCTTCAGTGTTTTTTTTTCTTTTTTCTTTGATTTTTTTTCTTCGTTCTTTCTTTTTTTTCTCTCTTTCCTATCTTTTGTATGTTTGGAGTTATATTCATGTTTGACTTAGAGAAAAGTTTGTATATATATATATATATTATATATATATATATATATATATAATATATTATATATATATATATATATTATTATGGTGTGTGTGTGTGTGTGTGTGTGTGTGTGTGTGTTGTGATGTGTGGTGTTGTGTGTGTTTGTGGTGTGTGTGGTTGTGTGTCTGTATGTGTGTACATTATTTAGTGGGTTATAAGCCGGAAAAAACGGTTTCTTTTTTCTTTTTTCTCTCAATTTTCATTTTCCTTTTTATCTTTTTCCCTGCCTTTTCTCTAAAACTTTTCTTAATTTTTGCAAAAATTCCCCTTCCTTTTAAAATCCAACGCGTGAGGTTCTATTACCCATTTTATTCCCCAACGGCTTATCAAACAATAAACCCTCTTTTTTTCCTTTTTTATTTGCAGTTTACTTCTATTTTGGGGTTTTCTTCTTCTCTTTTCCCCCCTCCTTTTTCCGT